AACTGGAAGGGGATCAAAGAGGCAATCACTCCAACATTTCATGAGGTTCTGGGCCACAAGAAGTACCATCACAAGGAATGGATCACTGTTGATGCACTGGATAAGATTCAAGAAAGAAGGAACAAGGAGGCAGCAATCAATATCAGCCGAACAAGAGCTGAGAAAGCGTAGGCAAAAGCTGAATACACAGAAGTAAACAAGCAGGTGAAGAGGAGTATCAGAACCGACCAGCGTGATTATGTGGAAGATCTAGCAATGACGGCGGAAAAGGCTGCAAGATAAGGAAACATGAGACAATTGTATGACACAACAAACGTCGATGGAAATTATCGTAAACCACAACGTGCGGTGAGGAGCACGGAAAACCGAGTAATCACCAACATTGAAGAACAGCGAAAGAGATGGGTAAGGCACTTATAGGGACTTTTGAATGGACCCAGCCCTACTGAACACACCCAACATGGAAACAGCACCCACGGACCTCCCAATCGAATGGATCATGAAGACGTCAACATCTGAGGGGAAGCATGGGATACAATGGACATCTAGGATGCATCTGGGCGATCTAGACTTCACAGATGATCTGACTCTTCTATCACACACGCAGCAACAAATTCAGAAGTCGACCAGTGCAGCAGCAGCCTAATCAGCAGTCAGTCTCAACATACACATAGAGAAAAGCAAGGTTTTCCGATACAACACAACATGCAACGATCAAATCACAATTGACGGAGAAGATTTTGAAGGTGTAAAAACCTCAACATATCTGGGCAGTATTATTGATGAACATGGTGGATCTGATGCAGATGTGAAGGCGCAGATCAGCAAAGCAAGAACAGCTTATCTACAATTGAAGTACTTCTAAAACACAAAACAACTGTTTGTCAACCACCAAAAAAAGTCATAAATTTCAATAGAAATGCCGAGACTGTTTGTTCTACCAAAGAACACATTACATTGGGAAATGGAGACAGACATGAGAAGAATGAGCGACAAACAGATAGAACAAGAAAGGAATGCTTAGGACATAATGTTTTGGATAATGCTGGTCGGGGGCCTATGCTCCTATCGTGGGTCACAGGCGTAAGTAAGTAAGTATCGATGAGATACGGATTGTAATGGATCTATCCCATCTAGATGGGTGACTTTGTGGAGAACTAAAACTCAGCACTCTTGGAGGTCTTAAAGTTCAGCCATTAAGGTTTTCATTTCACTGAAGTCTGATCATAGTCTCTCCTCTTTGGTACAAATAATATTTAAGTGTAGATGTTTTCAGTGTGACTGGAAACTCATTTCAGTACAATATATGTTAGATCTGTTCCATGCAATCGTAAATTTATTTAAGTGCAATACAGCTGCTAGATAGTCTGTTGTCCATTCTAATACAACTGCCGTGCGTTTTAGTCTGGGTTTTAACATAAACTCAACACAATTAATTGGATGTCAAATTATGATATTATTCCCGTACTACTATTGTTTCAGTCCACTTGTATTCATTCTATCATAGCGTACTTTGAATCCGCTTATTATTACGGCAGTTCATTCATTTAGCTATATATATTAGCAAGAACATTATGATACGGGTTTTGTATCCATTCGTTCTTGGCCATCAAATTCAAGAAACGGAACATAATGCGTTCCAGACATGTGATGAGCAAGGTAAGAAATGCACACATATACGCTTACATAAAACAGTCAGGGCTGATAAGCGAATGGATGACAGAGTAAAAATGTGGCTTGAGGAAAATGGATATATTGATCTATCTAGAGCCTAGAATGAACTATGTAGGCTCAAAATAGTACAAGCCCCTACAACATCTATTTCTAATTTAGATTTAATTGTGATATGAAAATAGTGGAAGTGACCCGAAATTTCATTGAGTTCCATATCTTCTTCACAATTAATGAAAGTATCATCCATACATCTTCCATATAAATTAATTTGACTGAAGTGTCGTATTTTGCAGATCGGCAATGACATAACCAAAGTTAGTCCAGTGGTGGACCCATTACAGTTCTTTCGATTCGTTTATAGAGATCGTTATTAAATATGAATTGCACACCAAGTGTACATCGTAGAAATAGCTCTTTTGGATTATATTGTTATTTTCAATAATGTTGTACAAAAAGCGTATAATTTCAATGAGCGGAACATTTGTAAAGCAAAAAGTGACATCAAATGAGATAATTTTATTACCAGTTAAACCAATGTCAGTCAGTCAGTCAGTAACAACGTAGAACTTCATACGTACGTACATCAGCTCGAGTTGCCACACCACCTTAGCACAGAGATGCACTTGTCGATTCAAATCCCGTAGTGGTAGAGGTAATAAGAGTATAAACAGTAATCGGGAATATTAGGGTTTGGAGACGTTATTTAAAGAGTATAATCCAGTGAAAGAAATTTGGAAAGAGGAAAAAAGGGACATGAAGAATTCAGAAGATCAGAATTTGGGAGAACACAAAGAGTGGATGCACCTGCGCCATTCAGGGTCTCTAACCATCGGTTGCTATCATCTCGTGGTCCCCAACCAGGTAGTCTACACCTACCAACATGACTCAGTTCACTTGTCACTGACTTCATGGACTTGTGCCATGTTTTGGTCTGGCCGCCCCTAACTTTCTTCCAACCTACTCCTATACCACTGAACATAGCACGTCGAGGCAGTCGGTCGTTGGGCATACGTAACACGTGTCCCAGCCATTTCAACTGATGAAGTTTCACTACTTCATCAATTGATTTGCCATCCTTACCTAGTACCCGTTTCCTAACAACTGTGTTACTCGATGGTCCCATGATATACGAGCAATGTTTCGAAGACACCTATGATCAAATACTAGTAACCTACGGATATCCTCTACTCTTACCGGCCATGCTTCACTGCCATAAAGTAGGACGGGACGAACTGCTGCGCAGTAAACACGTCCTTTGGTTGATAGACGGATAGCTCGCCTACGCCATAAATGACGCAAGTTGGCGAAATCTAGTCGAGCCTTCTGTATCCGTGCTGAGATTTCGTCACACATCAGACCACAAGGGTGATGAGACTTCCAAGATAAGTGAAGCGGTCGACACACTCAACTACTTCACTCCCTATCACTAGTTCGGGTGTCCATGTAACCCAATCCTGAAGCAACATTTTGCATTTCGAGGGAGAGAATCGCATGCCGAACATGCTTGTATTGTTGCTTAGAGGGGTCAGAAGACTCTGCATTTTGTCAGCGTCTTCGCCAAATAAAACTATGTCATCAGCATATTCTAAGTCAATAAGTGAATCTCCCGGTAGAAGTTCAACCTCTGGAAATCTAGACAAGGGAATTGTTATCTCTAAAAGTACGTCGACGACAAACTTAAACAAGAATGGAGAGAGTGGACAACCCTGACGAACACCACTTGAGGTAATAAAATTTTCTTCTCTGGATTCTCGTTTTATTCGATGAAACAGAGGGTTTACTTTAACTATATACATTTCTTTTGAAGATGAGAAACTCTGAATTTAAGTACAGTGTGAGGGATTTCATGATTAAAATAATGCCTAATGGACATCTGGTAAACAGAATCTCATCGTTTCCCAATAATCAAATCTAAACATGGAATGCTGTTTTCTTTTCGCTGATAGACAAATCTGAAATCTACTATTTGATTTCATACGAATCTCTAGAGACACTATGTAATTTATGTTGAAGCGGACCCGGTATATTGCCTAAATAATTAGACATAGCATATGTGAGGGCACATGTTAGTCCACTATAAATCTTAATGGAATATCAAATTAGTGAATTATTGTTAGCCTACAAAAATGTAATTTTGTATCAGATTTGGTATAGAAGATAAACACATCGATGGAACCATTTTGAATTTTTATTCATTAGGATATTATATGCATACCATTACACCACTGTCATTAATAAATGTTATCATGTTAAACCCTTTTTTCGTTGCATTTGTCTTGGTTATTAACACCCTAATCTTGGCATAAAGGCCTAGCTTTGTTTGCAAAAATATATCGTGAAAAATCTTAAACCACTTCGAAGTTATATATAAGTTAAAAATCTCTTCTCTTGAACTGATGGCAATTTGTCTGAGGCTTACTCCGTTTCAGTGGTCAGAAGCAATCGAATTCGTTATGGGAATGTTTAATGTCAAACACTATCGAACTCGTAATCTAGTAGTCATAAACAAGTCAGTAATAAGATAATAGAGAACTGTTTGTGCTCAATCGCAAGTATTGTATATGGAACTTGAGCCAGGCTAGTTTTAATTTACAGTGAAATAATTAATTGATACAAACGCCACCTATGCATTTTTGTAAAATTTCAACATCGTCAGTAAGCTGTCTAGATCTGTCCATAATAAAAAATATCCAAGATCTTCTCTGTACGCACTTTTATAAGACACAATTTCCACAGGAATTATGTTACAAGCAAATTAAACAGCTGGAATTTATTTATGAAGATTTGACAACCGTATAACACATTACACTAGTTAGAAGCAACTAAGTGGATATAGTATGAGATGGAAAGATAGATGTACATTATATTGACCTTTTTGATTCCATTTGAGATGTTACTATTTGTATTTCGTGGTAGTTTTGGTTTGTTTTACACCTCCACTGAATTTCCGTGTTCTTCCTGAACCGCATTTATGTTGTTTTAGTTGATACTTAGTCGTGACGACAGCCATATTGTTTTTCTCTCTCTTGATTTTGTTGCTTGCTTTAGCAGGAATTGTGCATTTTGTGATTGTGAATTGAAGTACTCTTCCAGAATTGGAAACACTTCGTGTTATAACCTAACTATATATTATCTTTCGAACGAACCTGCACGCAATCTATCCAAAAAGGGACAGGATAACATTTATTTGTTGTATATGATAATTTTCTTACATTCTTTATCAACTTATCTATTTAAAGTAATTTAGATTCGATTACTGGTTGAACAATTACTGGTTGAATAACTGAGGGAAAATACTTGCTTTATCTTTTCTTCTACTTTTGTTTGGGATTCATATGACGATTCACGGATAATCAGTTATCCTTGTTCTGTTTTCACAAACGCGCTTATTATATTGTTTAAATATTTCGAGTTTCCTTTATTACTATTACCCTATTTTCTTGTTTTACTTCTTTAAAAACAACTCAGTTGCACAGATCCTGTAGCTTTAAATATTCTAAATATTATGCTAACAATATTGAAACTTGTGTATCATTGCATTTTTGAGGAAACCCGAAATAGCTTCCTTACAACACTTATGTACCCACAAGCTGTATGTGAATAATAATAATTACAAACTAAATAGCCTTGACAGTTATTAATCATTTCAAGCTTATTTAGTTTGGAATCTACAAATATAAAACCTATGAGTAAGGTTATACGTAATCAAAGTAAAACCATTATTTTGGGATAATATATGCTCAGTAAAAATTGTTTAAATGGCAGAAACTAGATCAGAAGAAACTCACAAAAGTTCAGGGCTACATAAGTTTTTCATAATTGGCAACTGGATTGTTTCGGTAATTCATCCGAAAATGCAGTTCCTAAAGAAACAAAATGAGACATCCAAAGTTTAAAAAGACCGGTTATCTACTGTGTAGCATAGGAAGAAGTGAACAAGAAACAATGGCTACGGAAGCTATTGGATAAAATGTAGTGAACGAGTAATACGTCATCGGATCGCCATTCGTTTACTTGTTTGAAATATTTTATGTTAAATGGCCCACCACTGAATGTAGATCAGTCCAGATGTCTTGCAGTCAAAACATAGCTCACTCAAAGTTGATTTCTTATAGCACTTCGAGAAATATTTAAGTTGTGACAGAGTTTCAATCGGCCAGAGGTTTGGCGACGACTATTTCCAGAGACTTGTATAGCAATGGTGATTTTCTTGAAACTTATTGTTCTGTTGCTAATACTTTCCTATTTTGAAGATCTAGTTTTCTACTTTTGGCACATTTTATAGTATCACAGTTTTCTGAAGTCACATTGTGTAGAATTTTGCAATATAAGATATTTGTACTTAACCACACGATCTTTGAAGCCGAACATAAAATTACTGAAATTGCACTCGACACGTAACACAAAGGGAGGTCAAGAATTGTGAACTTCGTACTAATTTATCGGTATGACATGGCTCTGCCTGACAAGTGTGATTATTCAATGTGTATTAGTTTATCCCCATCAGGAGTGCGTTCATAAGAAGTACTCAACATCGTATTGCTGATTATCATGTAGGATGAGTCAGTATGGGCAGTGATATGACTTCCATGTAAGATTTTGTAGGTTCGGCAGTCACATCGTGAAAGCCTCCATATCGATTAGTATGGTATTAAAGATAGATATACTATTGCTGAGTTAGACCATATTCCGACATGGTTTTGCTACTGGATGTCAACAATTTTCCGGAGACAACGATGACCAGACACAGAGAGTCGTCTAACATTCTCAACTCGGATAGACCAGGTTTCACAAGTATAAAGCAAAACTGCTCTCACCGTTGCGTTGTAGGTTCAACGTTTTACGACCAGACTAACATCATGAAAGCGCCAAAGGTTGCTCAAATTGACATAAACCGCTCCGGCTTTCACTATATGTTAATTGATCTCATAACTCACTCCACCACCAGCACTTATACCACTCCCCAGATACATGAACTTCTCGGATACTTCAAATCGCTTACTGCATAGAGTGAGTGCAGGATCAGGGTCCTGACAGCTTTGCGAAGGTACTTTGCACTTAGGAGGTCCAAAGTACATTCCATACCCACGGACACTGACTGCCAACTGGTTAAGTGCGGATTGCATGGCTTGGGTATCGTCGCACAATAGGAAAATATCATTCGCATAGCGCCTTAATAGTTGGAGTTCCTTAGGGATTTTCGACTCATTAGGTGGATCAGCCGTCACAGATCATGGAGGAAAGGACAGTCTGATCGATACTGTCGGAGCAACAGACCAGTTGAACTGCTTTTTAAAAAGGTCTGCTCATCGTTAAAGAGGTCACCTTCACAGAATATTTCGCTCACACTAGACTTCGTGCTGCCAGTGACTCAGATGGGTTGAAAGAGCTTGAGGACGTTGCCAGATGCAACTGATGCTCCCAACTTATTTGCACGCTCCGATCACCAGTCTTCTCAGTCCTTAGGCAAGTTTTTCCTAATTTCATTATGTAATAGTCTTTGATTGTAATCAGACTTGAGGTCACTCGGAGTAAACCTAAGGGCTTCACAGAGTTGTAAAAAGCCTGAGGAAACCCGGCGCTCATAAGTTGAATGTTTTGCGAAGCTGCAAGCGACTTTACTCCCATAATGTTTAGTAGGAGGGTAGCTAGCCTTGGTATTTATGTGTAACAGTAGCTGTGACCAATTTACTGACATCAGTCGGTTTGGGACGATGAAGCTGTTAACCACTGAAACGTAAGGTAGGACTACCGCAAACAAAGACATGACCAGAGTCCAGATTGGTGCCTCAAAATGAGCGGCACTCTTGTACACAATCACTTCAGTGGCAGCTGATTCTGATGTGGTCAGAGTCAAGGCTCGAGACGCAGAGAGAGGACGCCAGGTAGCACATCGGCAATTACTGGGACGGCAAATAGTGCTAGTTAGGAACGGGTAGTAGCAGATGGTCACCATTATCTGACCCGCAACCAACAAGTCCCTAACGACTCCCTTCTGTTCCTAAACACCTGACCTGAGAATCCAAGTCTCGGACTAATGCTACAATATCTGTCGAACGAACTTTCTGTAGAACTGTTAACTGTTGGTAAAACTCATCATTGATAGCATCCGGGTTAAATCTATATGAGCATAGGTGGAGATGACGAAAAGACATCGTTTCACGCACCTATTTCTTCGCACATTGTTAGAATTTTCTAATCCAACAGCACATATCTAACTGTTAACAACGATCCAATCGATTGGTGCTGCCTCAGCTTTGACCCTTGGCGCGATACCAACGTCAACAATACCAGACAAATATTTCATATGGTACCCCGATAAATGCACATGAAACAAGCAATTCGAAGCGAGGGATGGGGAACGAATTTGTGATACTACACTAGAGTTTTGCATACGCGTCTTGGATAGACAAAAAATATCGATATTAAAACATTCTAAAGAGGTACCCAACCCTGATGATGATCTGGTAATGTGCTTGTGTTGAGATCGCTCGGTATATCTTATTGATTACCAGACCACTTCTTATTATCTTGTATCTCAGCCAGAATAACCCCATGTGTTAAAGTTTGTTGTCGTGCGATTTAAGCTCTATCACTAACTTTTTTGCACGTTTCTGTACGTATTGTAAGAGATTTAAGACTTTCTTCGAGAGAGAGAGAGGCTAAATGAATTTGTGAACTTCAAGGTGGGACCGCGGGTACGTTATAAAGAGAGTTTGGAACAACTCCGAGGCGGTCTTCCCAAGTAGGCTACGCATAAAGCGGAGATTCACGCTTGCCTCGACTGCATCTCCAATGTGGTTTGAGCTGGCGTCTAAACTCTCGGTGGTTACTAGCCCAAGGTTACGCTCTGAGGATTCAGTTAGAAGCGGATCTTTATGAAGGACTTTTATTCATACCGCATGTACATTGTTAATAAAAATAAACCATACCATAAATAATTGGTTATGGGGTAAATAATATGTCAATGAACCCTTGCCCAAGAGTCCGTCTAGCTGAATCATTTGTAAGTTAGATGGCAGATCATTAAACGTTAAACAGTTCACCGAATCTCGTCAAATTCAAGTATAGCCAACGAGAAATAATTGGTTCCATGCCACAGAACGGCTTATGTGAAGGTGTTCTTACCTCCTGTCTCTCTAACTTAATTTCTTTAGTAAACTGTGCTTTTCGATAGGGTCTGAACCTATTCGGTTAGCACCACAGAGGAAGCCAGGTTAAGTATATCTCTCGAGGCACGAACACGACACTAACTAAGATTTCAAACCATTCCCGTCGAACTGGGGTGGGTACATTGCCAATATTTATATGCAGTATTGCATCTACATTTTTCATAAACTCTTCTGTTATTACGCTTTCTAAATTTGTGGTGGAGTTATAGAATATTTATCCCATCCCCATATAGATGACATGCATTTTGAAATATTGTCTATGTTCATCGATTTCGGTAATCTGACAAGAATTATTTTATTCCAGAAATCAGTATTGTACTGAACCGCTTACATTATTTGATGTACTGGAAAATAGACCATCAACGTTTCATTTTTTTTCAAGCGGTTGAAAACAGACTTGGTTAGTCTATTCAGCTTTGCTCTACGCGTGGTCATCTGTGACTCAATCAACCAAATTTACGATTGGTAATCTTGTTGAAAATGTGGATATCATTGATGCCATCCAACAACAAGAAAATTTGAATTCGACTTCATTTGGTGTTAACTATGTTTGCCTAGTCATTTCTTAAAAGAGGAAGCACTAAATTGTTTTACTACAGTGTTTAGTCATCATCGTGTTCAGATGACTCGAAAGTGTAACTGGTGAGACTATAATTCATGGACGACCTTCGAGTAATGCTAAAGTGACCTAATAACTAGGACCAAATGAGAGTTAAAAACCAGTGTGAGAAATTAGAATTATGATTCACAGTTGATGGTTAGAGTTAGGAATTACATTCAGGGTTTTCATCACAAACTGAAATCAGTTATAATGCCAAAACTCTTTTTATACAAATGGATGGGTGAATTTTGCACCGAAATCTGGGACCTGTTATCTTATACCTGATTGATTCATCCATAAATTATAGTCTCGTCGTGTAATTAAATAGTGCAGTGTACCACTGGAAAGATTATATTGGTCGGATTGCGCGGCAATTACTCCGTTAAGTAGTTTCTATTAGTTGGTTTTCATGTTGGCAAAGTAATGAGTTGATTAAAAGTAGACATTTTGTTGAAAACATTTCCTTTTTCTGAATATATTCGATTATTCATCATGTTAAATAGATAACATACTGTTGTTTCAACTGAACTGTTTGATCATTGTCGAAGTTTCAAGTGATTAATGAAGAGATTTTAACTTGAGGAATAATGAAAACTTAAATTAAAAAATAATTTTTCTTTAAAAATAAACCAAATACATGCAAATAAAGTACCATATTACCAAAAAACTTTCCATTGTCTAACCCTGAGAACTCATCTCTTATTGATTCGTATATTATCTTTTAGTGGTATAAAATGACAAGTGTGTTAAATAGATGAGAACGAGCCAACAGAATATAAATATTCTAATGTAATATAATAATTTATGTTAACTTTTCTGCATTTTCAGGAATCATAAATTCTTTTGGTAATTCTGCAGCAAGCATTTTAGTAAGTTCTTCTTCATCAGCATCATTTTCATGTTCTTCAAAATCACCAAATCCCTTTTCTGTTAAGTCATAATTACTATCAACCAGATGATTAGAGCATAATGCATTTTCATAATTAAGTGAATTTAAACATCCAAGCATATAATCAACAATATTTGGATGTGGTAAATGTTGAGTTGGATGATTCAGTACAAGCCAATCACGAACATATATCGGATCACCTCTAGGATCATGTTTATCATCGGAATCTTTTGGAGGTAACCAAAATGGTCGGTATTTGTTTGTTGTCTGTCTTGATCTATTGAATTTTACTTCAGTTATTAACCAATTACACGTTTCTGGAGAGAAGTATTGTTCAAATGTTGAAAATATTTTTGATTTACTTCTAATAAAGCAAACTTTTGATACTGTTGTCTGTGGTAAGAATGGTTTAATGGCTTGCCAAGCAACTTTGAATGCAGGTCCTGGATGAACACAGATTGCTAAACCAAGGCGCTCTGGATAATGATCAGCCATTATTTTGGCACATTCGTAACCAAGACGAGGATGACAGCTGGTTGTAGTCATGCCTAAAAATTAAGATGTTTCAACTAATTACAGTGATAAATAAAGTACTTTCATCATAACAATCCTCTGACTTTTGCGGACATTTCATATAATTGAAATGCCCAACTTAAATGCTTCTTATCACCAAAATTACGACAGTTACTAGATCCTTAAATGTTTATATCAATTGGACAATAAATGTGAATTAATGTCGTACCAAATAGTGCTATACTTTCAATAATGTATACTTTCTGATTATACCAAGAAGGTATAAATGCAATCGAAATGTAATTAGGCATTTGATGATGTAATTAATTTCCCTTCTTTCTTATCTTTGCATCCTAAAACATCATGGAATCCAATGAATTTTTTAATGTTTGGTAAAGTTGATTAATTAAGTATATACTCTTCACGAAATTACGCCACCGTACACCAATGTCTTCAGTGAGCTGATATCTCACAAAAGATCTGGTTGAACTCCACTGGTAACGGCTTCTCACTAGCGCTCGCGCACGAGACTGATGGGTCCTGAGTTCGAATCTCGAGGGGGGATCGTGGATGCGCACTGCTAAGGAGGCGTCCCATACTAAAAGGAAACGGCCGGCCAGTGCTTCCAGGTTTTCCATGGTGGTCTAGCTTCAATTGACTTATGATTTCAACTATTGAAATTTCCAAAATCTCTACAAAACCCGTTTTGATAAGTATATACTCTCTTCTGTGTTTCATATATAATTTCCGTTATGTAAAGCCCAGTGTGTTATAATTCTATCTTATTACAACCCAGTTATTTCTATTGCTCAGTGTTCTTGGACACCATTTCACTTGACATGTCTCCAAATCAGAACATGGTTGAACAGGAAAGAGATTATATTCAAATAAGAAGGTTAGATGGAAGTAAGAAGCACAACAGTTAAAACGTTAGTACGGTGTTCTCCAAGTATCGACTAGCGCTGATAGGTTAAGAATTAGTCAAGCAACATGCAGCAACGCAACCGTGCATAGAGCATACTTCAATCTAATCTATGTCCCGTTAATACAGTAATAATGTTCAACTGAACAAGAATCTGGGAAATGTACACTTCTAAAGTGAAATTTTGTTGTATAACACTGAATTTATTATTCAATTACATGGACAACATAATAATTTATGAAAGTATTTGTTATATCCGAGCGAAGATTAAATAACGAGTAACTTCTGAGACGTATTAATTGACTAATATGATCCATACATTCTTATGGTATAACTATTCAATAATTAGATTATGTATATTTATATTATAAGCTTTATTTTGACCTATAATTTATTATTGTACGATTTACTGTTCTTAAGCTATGTTCAGTTTATTGACTACTGCCTCCCACGTTCACAGTCACTTTTTGGCTTTATTGTGTACAAATGTTATTTCCTATTTTATGGTGCGTTGCGGTCTGTTTGGTTGATATGTAAACCCAGTATGTCTAAAATAAATGATTCGATTCGCATATTGGAAGCAGGTATTTTGTTGTTCTGGATTCAAGTGGACGGGCTAGGTGGACATAGGACCAATGAGGACGCTAGGCTGCTCTTACCGGTTAAAAGTCATTGGTTTGGCACAGTGCTAAGATTGTATAAGTCGTATTTTGATTGATGGATAAATCACGTGATAAAAAACCGAATATAAAGTCATAACAATATTCTTTTGAAGTTTCAAGACGTTAGTGTTCAGAATTCAATCACTAAACGAACATCAGTATCATCACAGTGATTATCTTACTCACAATAGGACAAAACATGTAATAGACAGAAAAAATTAAAGATACTAAAAAAGATAAAAGGTAAAATTTTTGAAGTTTTCTATTAGTGAAAGCTAAATAATTTACCAGAAACGTTAGTTTCTAATAATAATAAATTATCAAATATGGTCACTACGAAAGAAATTTTATGGAGCATATTCTTTAAACTTCATTGTATACATTCACTTGGTGCTGTTTTACTTGTATCTTACCACTGTTATTTAGGACTGTAATTGATCAGTCTCTCTCTTATTGGTATATGTGCATCCTGTGTGAATTGCCTCGATATTTACAAGCATTATAAACAAAGATGAATAGTGGCTAGTAGTTAAATTCAGAACGCACGTTTCGTCCTATTTGGGACTCGTCAGCTGGATATACCTTCATCCCAGATTTGATGTTCACTCCAGGACTCGAACTCTGGGATTCAGGTGTATCCAATTGACAAGTACCAAACAGGACGAAACGCGTGTCCTGGATTCCACTGCTAGCCACTATCCATCTTTGCTTAAAAATTCATTATATACATATTCAATCATTTCTAATTCAATGAATACCCCTATTAAATTGACTATCAACAACTGTTCAGTGTTTTTAGTGGTTTAAAACTAATAAAAATCTATTATTTGGTTAATGTCATATTATACTTTTTCATTTATCAAAATTATAATAATCGTAATAAGCATACGATTCATAAAAGTAATTTCAGTTCATTTTAACAAGTACCTGAATTTATACTTCTAGTCACTAAGACTACACACTGTCTCCTCTTCTACGCTGAGGTTTGTTACAGGGCAAAGTTAAAAGTTTAACCAGTAAGTATTAAAAAAGATGGACGATATTATTTCATAAATGAGTCGTTCAGATTTCTTATGACAATATAATATTTATGAAAAAGGTAATATCGATAAGAATGAACATTAGCTAAATAGAATTTTTTAAAATAAAAGTAATACTATCATCATGGTTATAGACCATTTTGAGTGGTAACTTTGTTGGTTATTATTGGCTAATCAATTGACTTTTACAGTTGTTATATTCCCTCAGTTAGATTATTCAATTTTGTAACGTTCGCTATTGTTGTGGACAACATTATCTGAGTCTATTTTATATTGAAGTAAATATTTAGTTAATCTGAACGATACACTATATAGGATAGAACACAAGAAGAGATAAAGATGACAAAATCTATGAGAACGACTAATAACAAACAAAGCCATCACAATGAACTGATATAACACTTGAAAAATAACAAAAACGCTCATTTCTGTATGAAGTAGCCACTGATGATGGTCTCCAGACAACAAATCAAAATTTTAAAATTAAACCATCTAACTGAGAAAACAAAATTAAAATCACTCGTTTATTTTAGTCACTAACTAACCAAAATGAATGCACCATAGTAACTAATTTAAAAGAAGAAAGGCATAATTTTCTGATCAGAGATATTAGCACTTATGAATTTTATCTGAAATACCTACATTTAATATTTCTCTGATAAAGCATTAAACTTGAAGTCATATGATCTAGAAGTGTATTTGTAATTCATCTATCTTAAGAACTATTAAAAATAAACAAGCCAAAAATACAAATATGCCCAAGTTTCAACTAATCAAAATAACATGCCCTGCCTAACCTTGATCATCTGACAATTGATAAAAGTACCGGAACATATGTAATATGTAATACTAATTACTTTATATTCTTTCTTCCATTCATTATTGATCAGTTGTTATTTACGGTAGAAACACCCACGTATTTTCCTACACCCATGGTGTATGTTATATATTTTTGTTGTTGTTGGGTATATTTAAGGGCAAATTCATTGAAATTGGAGCGTATAATTTATTAAATATGCTTAGTCTTCAATTGAATTCTATTTTATATCTCCTCATATTTAATTGTGTTAATAAACTTGATGGTTTAAAATTATCAAAATTATGTACAACTCTTACAGTTAATCTAAGAAGTCAAATAAGTATCAATCGAAATGTAAGCTTAATCGTATCATCATCATCATCATCATCGGATATGCAGTCTGATTTAAATCAACTAAAGTATCAAGATAAAGTAATGATGGATGATAATGGATTTGAATTACGTATTCGAAGAGTAAATGATGGTGTTATGATTGATGAATGGTATGAACCTGGAAGAAAATATTATGTAATATTGACAAATCGATTTCATTCAGTAGGATTTCGTGATGGATTAATATGGATTGAACCTAATATGAATAAGGAAAAAATGATGATGAATATAAAAATGGATTCATCAATTCTTGTGGATAGTAAATCACTTAATGGACAACTCAATTCAAACACAGTAAGTCGAATGTTTCATGGATATATTTATTTACTTAGATCAATTCAGACCATTCGAATAGATCGACTCGATTATTGATAAAGTTGTTGATGATTGAGATTTATAAATATGTAGATTGGAACAGAAATCAAATTAACGACCTTCAATTTTCGCTATGATAAAGGTTTGGTTCATTTCTTAAAAGTGAATTCTGTTAGGGTTGACTATTCTAGAAACTTAAATATTACTAAATTTATGTAACTTGAAAAACTAAAGAATGATACAGATCAGTCGTAATAAGTGTTTAAATGCTGTGGGTGGTAGAGGAAAACAGTTATTCTAGTGAAGACATCAGGATGAGTGTTCCGCAGTTACTTTTTTATACAGGTTTGTTACATATACAATTGAAGTAAAATATTTTATTCAGGGGCAGCAGTAACCAAAGCTGTGCTGAATCTATTCACAGAATTTGTTCATAAATCTTTCTTTTTATTTCGTACAAACGTAGACACCTACCATCGCCTCCTAAAAAATCCCATGTAATGAATCCTAAACAGGTATCACATAAGTTCGACAGTTGGGAGGTAATAGTTTATTTCCTGTTTCTGAAAGTTCAATTAAGCATCAATTTTTGATTAAAATTTCCTTCGTTACGTCATGTCTCAAAATGGCAAATTTCATTACCGATGGATCTACTATTACTTCTGCAAAGATTCTTATCCAAATAACTTTATCAATGATTGTTTTAGATCCTATTACAGAACAATCTTTATAAAATAAGTTACTTATCAATCACTTTTCTTAGAATCTTTATTTTATTGAATCGTTTTTTAACTTTCCTTAGTTAACAGATAATATGAGCAATTGCTCTTCTAGAGAGTTAGGTGAATGGATTCATTTAACTAATCAGGATCCAAATAATAATATTTTATCTGATTTATGGACAACAGAGACAGCAGTCACTCAAACAAGATTAGGTTGTGAAGGTCTTACAGCTGAGAAGATCTCACGTACTCAAAGACTTGTTACAAAAATGATAGTTATATGGAAAGCACCATTAAAAGATAAATGTGGTTGTATCAATATTAATGCAGCTGTACAAACACATAATGAACAAAGAGAAATATTTTCCGCTATAGGTAAGTAATGACTGATATGCTTTTGAGTATTGAATACATTCAATGATTGCTTATTATTTAATTCTTTAAATAAAGATCACAAGAACCATATCAATAAAATTTATAAGATCCGGATTGAACTGATTTAAAAATATACCAGCACTATTAAAACACGGAGTTTTATCCTAGAATAAGACAATTACAAATACTAAGAGGGTAATGAATAAATAAACCTGAAACATTTTCATTACCTCTGAGTAATAACGACAAGACACACCAATGGTTGAATTTTAAAATCGTATCAAATTTTTAAAGGTCACTAAGATATAAAAATAAATACTCTGTATAAAAGTAAATCCCTGACATTATAAGCACACATGGATGATGGCTGGCAGTGTAATCCAGGAAACGCGTTTCGTCCTATTTCGGTTTCGTCAGCTGGATGTACCTGCATCTCACAGTTCATGTTTACTCTGAGATTGAAACCCATTACCGTTCACTTCAAACACCATCACATTATCCACTTACCTAATGAGTTCTGAAACCCACTTGCTTGTGCAATGGGGTGCAGTTATATTCACTTGGTGTTGTTTACTTATATCTTCCCATTGTTATTTAGGACTGCAATCGATCAGTCTCTCGTTCGCATATGTGCTTTATAAGCAAAGATAGATAATGGTTAGCAGTGGAATCCAGGACGCACGTTTCGTCCCATTCGGGACTCAGCTTGTGACTTCAGGCAATATTAAGACAGCCCGCACAAGATACACATATCCCAACGAGAAACTGATCAATTACAGTCCCAAATAACAATGGGAAGAGACAAGTAAACAACACTAAGTGAATATAAATCCCTTACACTTTATTAATTCAAACGACTGCTATATACCAGTTAATTAACGTATTTGAGGAGTTTCACAAGTCATCATGGTCATTGGTTAAGTACTGTCATAGTCATTAAAAGCTCATGAGACTACGAACAATACGCATCGAATATATGTCGCTACAGAAATATCCTACTATCTAAGAGTTGATGTTCTTTAACTTTGAGAAATGGTCTTTGAACCTAAAACCAAATGTTTCAGGCATCTGAACACAGATCTTATAATGGCACTGTTCGAACATTATTATTCTTAAGCTTACGAAAACTATTTTGGTACGTCCCTTAGTTCAGTATTAACTAATGATCGTTGACCTGATAGATAAGATTGTGAAGTGATGGTCATTCAAATAATCCACTAAATTTCACTGGACATATAGATGTCAGCAAATATGACTTATTTTTATTTATGGATCAAATTGTTCCTATTCAATGCTCTGTATTTCTATTCCATATATTATGAAGGTGGTTTGACCAAAACACTTTGTCCAAGTTATACACGACCACCAAGTCCTGTTCTTCCAGCTTACATGTTACCTGCAAATGATAGAAATGTCGAAAATTCTATAAAGGAAAGAACGATGAAGTTATCACATGATGAATTTATGCATTTGGATAGTATGCAACCTCAAGACTGTTGTGCATGTGGTTCAGCAACTTATAAGCTCACCTTTACTGGTATGTGGACTAGAGCAACACATCCAAAAGACTGGCCCGTCCACAATCCTGGAGCACTTCACTGGACTAACCTTATCGGTGCTAGTCACTCACCAAGTTTCCAAATTTACCGTATGGGAGAACCAGCAAGTGCTGGAGTTCAAGCTGTTTGTACGTATGGTGACACAACTGTGATGAAACAGTCACTCGGGATCGCTGCTACAAACACAGGTTCTTTAGGAGGAGTCCCATCTGGAACTCAAAGAGGTTCTACCGGTATCGGACCGTTACTAAGTCTAGTGTCTGCTCCAGGCATGTGGGGAGAAGAAGCTCTTGAAGAGACGAGAACAACTTATGTTGGTGTAAATAGAACACATCCTTTAATATCATTTTTGACAATGCTTGGACCCAGTCCTAATTGGTGTACAGGTATTTCCAGTCAATCAGTTTGTCAAGCGGACTGCACTTGGGTAAAAAGCATTGAAATTGACTTATTTCCTTGGGATGCTGGAGCTCGTAACGGTGATACATATCTTCCTAAAAATTCAGATAACAAGGTAACTGTCTTGTGGTATGATATTTTTGTCTGTTAGAAACTGCTGACATACTATGAATATTAATAACTCCGGGATCCTGTTAGAGAATGTAAAGTTCAATTTTAGACCTAAAATTTATTACTTAAATCACTTTCTAGTAGGACAGTAAGATTATGTTTACTAGTTGTTTATTAGATGGTAACCAACACCATTGTTCTCTAAGATACATCAAAACTCAATATAATTTCTTGAGTTTTGTTAAAACGCTTGAGTAAACATCAGGAAAATTCAATCAATATATTTTTATTTCTGTACACCTCATCAGAGAAATACTTCAATTTCAAGAACGTTGACTGTTTACCTCGGACGTTAGTCGGTAACGAGTTCAGCAATTTTGTTAATTATTATTTATTCAAACACATAAACATTGGTACAAGGAGGCACCAAATAGATATACACCACATAAATCATTCGATTCGTGTGAGGGCTGGGATACTGTCCGAAGGCGCAAACCGAAGCAAGTGGTTTTCTAAGGGGGCCACACTCGGGACCTTCGACTTAAATGTCTGATCCACAAGGCAGTGGAGCGACGTAGAGAGATGCAGTCACATGGTAGTCGATGACCAACAGTTGGTTCATACGTCATTTGTTTCCTCAAAATCCTTGAGCTCATGTACACTATTGGTTTGGAATGAGAGTTATCCGACTCTCCTAGGTGGACTCACCGTGTCCACAGGCTCGGCTAAAGTGCCGGACATTCGCTTTTCGTCCTCTCAATTTTGAAAACAACAGTCATGCCGCGAGAAGGCAGTGAGTAGGATTTGTGTGGTAGTGGTTATATGCACGTGGCCATGTGAGAGCATTTGGAGAGGAAGAGCTGACTCTCATGACTCTCAGATGCACCAGGGCATTTGGGGGTTACATAGTTTGAAACAACCAGGATTTTAATGGACTCTGAAATTTATTTTCAATCGGTGGACTCTAAAATTTATTGTGTTTGTTTAAATACTTTGTGAATACCAACTTAGGGAAACACGAAAATATCTCGACCATCCAAATAAGCTTTGAAGCTTAAGTAGAGAATTTCGTGGGATTACTTCTGTAAACCAATGCACCGTTGAAATAATAAAATAAGTTAGACTGTAGTAAATAAACCGATTTTGGGAAACTAGAAATAATGCCGAATAACTATCAAATTATTACCCTATCGCTACATAAAATATTCATCGACTTGTCCATCAAATCATTGACAATTTCAAATATTGTGTAGTTGGGCTTAGTGCGGATGTGGTGTGTAGTGGCTGACACAGATGAAATACAATTAGCCGAATTCCAATCAATGGGTCTTATTATTACCAAGTTTTCTAGAGTTTAATCACAAAAATCACTTTGGAAAAACATGCACTAGTCAGATTATTAGTTGGAAAGTTTTTGGTACTAAATGCAAAGATGGATAGTGGCTAGTAGTGGAATCCAGGACACGCGTTTCGTCCTATTTGGGACTCATCAGCTGGATGTACTTGCATCTCACAGCTGATGTACACTCCAGGACTCGAACCCAGTACCGTTCGCTTCAAATGCCATCGTGTTGTCCACTTACTTACTGAGTCCTGATACCCACTTGCTTGTGCAATGGGGTGAAGTTTAAATTCACTTAGTATTGTTTTCTTGAATCTTCCCATTGATGTTTAGGACTGCAATTGATCAGTCTTTTATTGGCATACTGTGTGTATTGCCTCGATATAGTCTTAGTTCACTCCATGGATAAATATATAATTTTTTTTCCGATTTACCGTTTATTAATGACTGCATTTTACATTTCGCGATTCAAAATAATAAAGATTGTTGTAAGTATACACGTCCTTGGATATGAATTCGTATATACCACCACTTCTACAAAGATCAATTTGTTATTTATCTTTCTGTATCTATGTCATTTGAAATCGGGTTAAAGTAAAGAGTAATTCAAACATTCCTTGTTTTTAAAGTCTCACTTAAAAACGATTTTCGTTGTTAAATAGTATATGGACGGAGGAAATGAGTATAAGATTTATGTACTTTTAAGCTATTTGTAGTGTTAAAGTACATTTTAAATTTTGATCTGGGTGAGTAAGTTGAAGAGTGATAAATATCATGTTCATCAATTGTTTAACCCATAAAATATCCCGAATAACTTTATATGTATACAGGATGTTCCAGAACCTATTCGTTTTATCACCAGAGACTGGATGCCAAATAGTCCATTCACGCCAGGCGTCCCGGTAGCAAAATTAATCTTGGAGAGAGTTTTACCTAATGAATCATGGGAATGTACTTCAAAGTTGTACGATGGGGTGGAGCTATTTCATGCCGATGGAAGTACAGAAACAGTAGGTTCCAGACCAGGATCCCAATCTAATAAACATTCTCCGATAGTTCAGTCAGTTATCGGGGATTTAACAGGTGCACTACCAAAGAAAACTCGAAACAAAATTGGTAGTGGTGGAGTAGGCGGAACACGAATTACAAGTGGAGGACTAGGTGGGGATGATCCTCTATCAGATCCAAGTTTGGCACAGATGGCCACATTTCTATGTGTTACAAGTCCTTGGTCAGCCTGGGGGTCGTGTTCAGTTACCTGTGGTGTTGGTCGTCGAACTAGACAACGTGACATGCTGATCAATAAGAAGACAGAGCTTTGTCAACATGTTCCATTAGTTGAAGAAGAGGTAAGAAATAGAAGATCCTTGAAATAACTAAAGAAACTATAGATACATTGCAATAATATTGTATGCATTTTACTCCATCAATTCGTAGGTTAGGTATTTTCCATGCTTCCTCATTCATTGGTTTCAAATGGTATGCATACTAATAATCTCAACATGACGCTATGAAATGCCTAACTGCAAAAAATATGACTTATTATATCGTACATTTCTTAAACAAATAATCGTAAATAACAACTCAATCAATTGCGTCCAAGTGCACTGATTTTAATTTAGACACTTCAAAATATTTATGAAAAAGAATCCTAAAAATGAAAAATATCATGACAATAATCGAAACCCATTGAGTTATTAAAATAATTGAAGGCGTTTCTTGTCGATTTTCAGTTTTACTATTGTATATTCTGGTAATATTATACACATATGATAGTCTAGACTGATATCAAGAATTCGTGGATTGATTGAGGCTGGACATTAACGCCGTTGGATGCCAGTCGGCTCAATGGTCTAGAGGTTAGGAGTTCGCGCGCGAGAATGGAGGCCCTGGGCTCGAATCTCGCGAGCAGGATCGTGGATGCACACTGCTGAGGGGGAGTCCCACAATAAAACGAAACAGCCGTCTAGTGCTTCTAGGTTTTCATAGGTGGTCTAACATCAATCGGCCCATGATCTCAATCAAAAAGATATCACGAATGTTATATTATTAAACAAAATTGCCAAAGATAATCCAATATTTTCAAGTATAGAGTAAAGAAAATTTAAAAAATTGAAGTGCTGTCATATCCTTTAACAAAATAATCGATCATCATCAAGAGATTTAACGTATGGAATAAACTAAGTGTTACATCTGTTATATCTAGAACTTAGATTCTTGATATACCGTGTACTACTTGAGCACTTAAACGTCATAAACCTCCAAGTCACAAATGAGAAGACAGAAGACGAGTGAGAGGGAATGTTATTCCGAACAGTATCAAATATGGTACAAAACTCTCAGATAATTATAGTTTTTAGTAAAAGCGAAATTATCATTATAGACATTCAAATCGCATACAGTGGTTTTTAGCATTTGTTCAATAGGGGATGTCCCTGGAATGTTTCTTCAGGAGATGATTGGATGGAACGTGTTTGGCTCTTTCTTAGCGTCTTAGAGCTTTCTTGAGTTCACCCGTGGGCCATCCCCACAACATCATTTAGCGAAGTGACCAAAAATGCTCAAGAAATAGTTTCAAAAGTAGTGGAAAATAATAATTTAGACAATATGTACAAAAGCCAGCTGTCCATTTTACAAATAAGTAGAAAGAGAAGAATAAGATAATTATTAATGTTTACAATTTATGAAATAAGGATGGGTGGTACGACCATGAGAGAATAGGGGGTCGAAAATGACTCTCTTGTATATGGAAGTTAGATGGAAAATGATGAATTTCTATTGCTTCAACTGTGAACAAATTTCCAATACAAACACTATTTACCTTTTTATGGCCTTTTACACTGTATACTTGAAAGTCTTTAACTATTTCTTGTAGTTTGATTTGATGATATGACATTCCTGTGTATAATTAAAATCACCCATAAATAAGATTGTACAACTCAAGAAAATACCTTCATCTGAGAAACATTTTCTACACAAGGAAATAGTATAGTAATGATTAACTAATTATAGTGTCAGTGTATCCACAATCTACAAGAACGAATAAACGGGTAGTCTGACCGAGCTAATAGAACCAGTATAAACTCAGATAATCAGTCATTTACAGTTTAACGTAAATACTTCAATAAGATTATCCAAACTTTCATGAAGAAATCGCATCAGCATTCAGTAACCTAACGGACATTCACAGTAAGCTTAAATTCTTATTCTTCCTAATAAAAAAAGTATTTATAACAATGAAATCTTGATACCATGATGGATCAATCAATGAATCAGTATGAACTTCTTTTTATCATAGATTAAATTCACCTATATTCGTCAGCAGACCTTCAAAACGGATCGATACTTGAAGTTTGTGTTGAGGATGTCGTTTAGAAGAACGATGAAAACTTCAGAACCAAACCATCCAGCTCAGAAAATAAAATTTTACCAACTTCAAAAGGATCATTTGTATAGGTTCCCAAAGATTAAAACAGTCGAAACCATACTTTATACTTAAATCAAAATAAGGATTGTTTGTTTATCTTAGGTGAATATTATTCGAATAATTACGGAAATTAAAGAAGTGCTCGACAGTTAACTTGACTACAGAGGAATTATTTTTGTAAGCAATGAATCGAAGCATTAGTTTGACTTATTGGTTTCTTTCAGTGTCATCACAATCAAGGTTTACTACTCTTTTGATTACCACATAAATGATTTCAAGTGATATCATACAAGTTTACATATTCTTTTACTGTTAAGGACATACGTTTTATCCTGTTATTCAAATCTGAAATGGTTTAAGTAGATATTGGGAAAACTTTCATAGCCCTAAAACTGTAGTATAAATACATTTCACAAAGTCAATGATTTTTGGTAGGATAATTACGTGAATATTTAACATAACAAGTTGGAGTTTTGAGAATGTAATTAAATAATAACTGAAATCCAATCATTATTAGTTTAAAGTTGTTCACCATTATAGTTAATAACTGAAAATGAATTAAAGAAACAATAATTTCGAAAACCAAGGAAGTGATGGATCCCACAAGGCACCAGCACCAACTGATATCCTGCGAAACCTTCAAGAAAACAAGAACAGTGAATACACCATTCAACAACGGGCAAACAAGAACAGAGGAGGCCAATGCACAGGCCAAATACATAGAAGCAAGCAAGTGAATGAAGAAGAAAATTAGACCAGATAAGCGGAAGTATGTGGAAAACCCACCAGAGACAGCGAGAAAACCTGATAGGGAAGGGAAACATGAGACAACTATATGGGATAACGAAGAAACAACTGTCAGTCAGTGTCAAGACAGTTCTGTTTTAAAGAGCAAGGACTTGAAGAACTATTACTAGCATCATCAAAAGGGTACAGGTATTTATAAACAGCTGTCTATCTAAGATACTCTATATCTTCTGACTAGACACTGTCAGCAGCGATCTAATGTGGTAGAGATCAAAACAACTTTCAGATGAACAGGGAATTGGGAAAATATTCTGGAGATGGATAAGTCACACTTAGAGGAAATCGCGAAACCTCATCACAAGGCAAGCCTTAACTTGGAATCTTCAAATAAAAATGAAAAGAGGCTGACAAAGGACACATGAAGTCGGGAATCTGGCACAGCCATCAAAAGAACGAATAGAACTTACCAAAAACTGGAAAGGAGAGAATAGGACAGAGTTGATTGGAGAATCGTGGTGGACGTCCAATGCTACCCCATGAGGGATAAAAGGAGTAAGTTAGTAAGCAATCAATTCAAAAATATCATATAGTGTCAAATCACTAAACTTCAACTTCTAATGTATTTGTTGATTGCATTACTTAAAATTATCAGCATGAAAGCAATTCTAGTAGAAATCTATGAACACTATAAATTTGTATTAACTTCTTTTCTCCTAAACTATATAGTCATGTGATGGTATAAAACGCACATGTGATTTCAGTGCTATGTGCAGCTTATTACCATGGACTGCTTGGACCCCATGTAATGCTACTTGTGATAAACCGCATGGATGGCAAACACGTACACGTTATTTAGCCCGCTCATCAGAAAAGAATTATTGCGAACATATATTTCAAAGTGAAACCGAGTCAAACAATGGTACTTTACGAGAATTGAGGGAATGTCAGCCAAAAGATACAGATTGTGATCCGGCTACAATATGTTCAGAGGGTAGAAAAGATGGTATAGAATGTGGTGAAAAAGTTTTAGCATACTACTATAGTGCTATTGAACATGCATGTTTACCATTCAAATATTTAGGATGTAAAGGTGGGCGTAATCGATTTCCTACAAAACAAGATTGCGAAGATTTATGCATTCCAGCTGTTGAAGCACTACCTAATTGGCGAAGAGAACGGATAGCTTTATTACAATATCAAACAGCTCAATTAGCTACAGACAGTAATGATTTTAAAAATCAATCGATTTCTCCAGCTAAACACTGTTCTCAGGTAATGGACCCTGGTTATACTTGCATGGATGATAACCCACCACAGAATAGATGGTAAGTTATAACTTTATTTCTTATTTAGTCGAGGCTTTGGCTTTAAAATTAAGCAGTAAATAGTTGTTTTGTTTTAATTTAGATTTTCTCAATTCATGTAAATAGCCTACGAATGTTTACATTGTCGTGAACTTTCATTTATCAAGCTTGACCTGTTTGAGTTTATAAAAAACGATGTTTTAATAGAACTTTCAAGCATTTATCTTGAGGATAAGTTATTACTAAATGGTATACTGTCGTTCAGACTGATATATGAAAATAGTAGATTCAGAGGGTCTTTATTGTATTAAAGTTTTCGATGCTTTTTCAACTGATGTTAACACGTAATAATACACTAACAAGGTTAAATAACTAAATGACATTCAATTCAGTAAAATTCAGGCTTATTAGGTAACAATATTTTTGGCCAAAGTCTACTTTTCCCTGTTGCCTGGGAAATCTCAGTGATGTACCCGGGAAACTGGTTTATTTTTTAAAGCTATGAAACATTAAAACATTCATAAATAACATCAAGCTTCAGAGTGGAAGATTAGGACACACATTACATGCAGTGTTTCTGATGAAGTATAATAATTTTTACTGCACAACTTATATTATGACTAAGATCAAAGCTTCATAATCAAAAGTAATAAGTGTAAACCTGATTTATGTAGTATGTAATCAGTAGTCCCTTGTTGAATACAGTCAATTAAAAGACTAAGATGACGGGAATATATCGAAAAGACACATAACGTACACCTGAATTCAGAAAGGGAAATATAAATAAATCTTTCTAATTCAAACTTAAGGTAACAGTCAAAATTATGGAAGTTCAGTTTATTTTAATTGAACTAGAAAGGATTTCGAATAAGTTATTCATATAAACATGAATTTTGTTATTTTTATACTTTTCATCAGTTATATGAAATTTTAAATGAAATCCCTGTTATCATAACTGCATGAATAGTATCATCTTAAGTTAAACAAATGATCGGTTTTATTGTGCCTTGAGTCAGTCTGATCTCGTTCAAATGTTTTTATTCCTCTACTAATCAGTGAGGGTTATCACAACCTAACTCTTAACAGATAACACATCATTAGTCCTGAACATTTTAATTTAAAAACCTTAGGGTAATTTGTCCACTACACTTCATCACACTGTTAACCAGACATCATCTCTTGAAGTTTTGTTAGCTGCTCAAATGATATGATTACACAGAAAAATGTGGAGATGTCCAAGAATGAAACGACAAATATTTCTTAGAACTAACATATATATGTGAAGTAATTTCATAAAAAAATTAAAGTACATTAAGAGTCATTTTGTGACTTGATGTACTTAATATCGTTTTTGATATAGTTTAGGGTCTACGCTCAAATAAGTTTAAACTTTGTCAATTCTTGTATTCCAGTGCATATATTACCAATAAGTTATTGGATCAAGGTTCTGTACTCTATATCTTACTACTCTGGTCAATACATTTCATTGCATGACAAACAGCTGCATCTGTTTCTGACCAGTTCTATTACTATAGTAATGTAGGTTTATTAATTAGTGGTACTTCGAAATAAATCAAAAACTTTGATCAACACCTGTAGAATAATTTTTAATTACAGTAATGACGATTATTTACCTATTTCTTCCTAGGTATTTTTGTCCCCGCCTACGAAGATGTCGTGATTTTGAATACCGTGGTTGTGGTGGTAATGAAAACAATTTCGAAACATATCATGGTTGTTTATCTGATTGTCTCCCGTTAGAAATGGAGAAGCTACGACAAATCAATAAGGCACGTATGGCTAGCATGCGTACATACACAAATGACACTTCTATGATCCATAATAATACAACAAATAATCATACCGCTATCTCTATACAAAAATCAGTGGATGATAAAAATGATGTTGATTCATTAAATGAAATAGAACATCAAAAATTAAATGATATATCGGGTCATAAACAAGATTGCATAATGACTACATGGAGTGGTTGGAGTCCATGCTCAGTATCATGTTCTCATCAAAAAGGTACGCAAATGCGTTGGAGATATATTGAAAAACCTTCAATGCATGGTGGGAATTCATGTGGTACACTTTTTGAAAAACGTGAATGTCACGGAATCGCATGTTAATATAATCAAGAATATACAAAGAAAATTCATCCTTACTGTAAATTCAACAATTAACGTACTTCTCAAAGCATTGAATGCTTTATTCCATCATCACATGACAACAACAAAAATCTTTTTAAATACTCAGAAATCAATAAATGATTAGTAATAATGTCTCCAAGGTATTTGTTTGAGCACTCAAGCTCATATAAACAAACAATACTTATTTTCATTCAATTCAATATCTTTATTTACACTTCATATATGTAGCCATTTTTAATAAATAAATTAATATCCTCTTACATTAATTTTGTGAGGTTCCCCTATTTACAAGTAGTCTATTACTGAGAATTTACATCAATATTATGTCAAACATTTAATGACTCTTAATTTTTATCTCCCCAATACAATATGAACTCAATATAAACAGTCATAACGTTAAAGATCTGTTACGAATTTGAATAGTCGAGTCAATTAGGCACACTTCATGAATAATCATTGAACATGATGAATATCTAATATGAAACTAAAAATTATTTCACTGTTTAAGATTTACTAGTGAAGTCAAGCGTATTTCAGTGATTGAAAAGTAATCACAATTATTACTAACAAATGGGGTGGGGTGGGGTGGGGTGGGGGGAAATTCGGTAATTTCTAGTAACGATCTAGATAATTAAACAAAATCTAACTTTTCTCATAAGTAAACAAAGACGTTGTAGATACAATTGATTGCTTGATAGTTAAATCTTTTGAAGATAATATAGAATTTAAAGTTGAAGTAACTAATAGAAAACGTCTTGAATGATGAAGGTAATCAGTATTTGGCGTTGTGTTTGAATTTTTTTTTATCTCTTCACGAATAAAACTTCTAATTTAAAAGAAACGAGTGAAAATATTTATGAATAGGGTTTGTGAAATAAATCAATTTCTTTAAATATATGTACTCTAGAGAACATCCTCGATGAATATTTCAGAATGTTCTATAGTTTCAATATATTTACATAGATATTATCCTTCAATCAAAATTTGATTTCGAAAACTAAGTTAAATATCATATAGCAAAGATAGATAGTGGCTAGCAGTGGAATCCAGGACACGCGTTTCGTCCTATTTGGATGTACCTACATCTCAGAAGTGATGTTAACTCTGAGACTTGAACCCACTACCGTTCACTTCAAGAGCCATAACATTATCCACTTACCTACTGAGTTCTGAAAGCCATTTGCTTGTGCGATGGGGTGAAGTTTAAATTCACTTGGTATCGTTTACTTAAATCTCCCCATTGATGTTTAGCACTGCAATGGATCAGTCTCTGTTATTGATATATGTGCACAAGGCAATATTTATAGTTCGAAAAACAACTAATCATGCACTTCTGATTAACATTAGAAACTGAAATCTCACTCTTATTAATTTTTAGTGAATAATTCACTAAAACGTAGTCAACCTTAAATGTAGATGTAGTCTGAGAATAGTTAGTTAAAATATTGTTTGAAGCAAGCAAATATTCACTAAATTGGAACATTTTTTACTTAATATTCTATCTATGAAAATAGTTACGAAGGATGGAGTCTATAATCACCGAAAGAGTATAAATGTTATAAAGCTTGGGAATAAGCGAAATAATGTCACTGGCTAAGTTTGTGTTTGAAACTATAACTTATGGTCCGAGTTTAACTGTAACGAGTAACAGCAGAATATGGGTACATTATTTAGAGTAATGTTTCACCGATCCAAAATTATATACACAAAATGTTAAGTTTTTCACTAACTTACCAGTGCAATCAATTACAAAAACCCATTGTGTAACACCAGACTTCATACTTTTGATTGCATTTTCAATTGTATATATTAGATGAGTTACTGCGTCATTTGACATGTTTCTATTTGAAATAGCTTGACAAAATGATGCATATATAATTGGACGCCCAGCTTCATCAAATCCTATCTGTCTCTATAAAAAGCATAAATGTACATAGAATAATATATTTAAACATGGTATACGAAGACGTGGAATTACTATGTTTATCAAAGTTTTCAGGACTATAACTGTTAGCGTATATTGACACAAGCCATATATGTTTTTGATTATTTAACCTATGAATACTTAGTAAGAGTCTTTTTTAAAAGTCATCTCCATTGAAACACAAAGTCATTAAGCCCTCTCTCCCTCTCGAAATGCTCTCCTACGGCCACGAGTATACAGACTCTGCCAGGAAAGTCCTACTCACTACCTTCTCGCGTTACTACTGTTCTTTACGAAATTGCGAGGACAAAAAGCGATATTGAGGATCTATCTAAAGGAGTTGGAAAACCCTGATTTCAAACCGATGGTGCACATGGGCTCCACGATCCAGAGCGAGCAAGTGACGTATGAACCAATTTTTGGCCACCGGCTACCATCGAACTGCATCTCCTGACGTTGCTCCACTCCCTTGTGGGTCAGACCTTTAGGTCAAAGGCTCCAGGCGTGGCCCCCTAGGAAAACCACCTGTTTCGGTCTGGGCACCCGGGAATTATCATAGCCCCCATACAATTGAAATGAAATGACTATGATTATTGGATGACAATGATTATTGTTGGATAAGCTTACGAACTCCAATCAGGACAAAATAATCAACATCAATTTTAAATTCAACTATCATAAAGTACAATTAAAATACAAAAACAGATAATATTAATATTTCACCATAATAAACTACACATTGACTAAATCTGATTGATTTAGCCCATGATTTAATGTGATAGTTTAATTTCACTGATTGATAAAATCATTTACAATTAATTACCAATATTTTTGGATCAGTATTGTTGTATCCCAACGGGAATAATGAGTGGTAACTGTTGGGATCTATTTATAGGCTATGTAACTAAACTATGTATATTCATATTCCTCTTATTATAAGCTTTATTTTGATCTATAGACTATTATTATACGATTTACCATTATTAAGTTATGCTAAGTTTATTAATTACAGTCTCCCACAATCACAACCATTTTTGGCCAGATATTATATAAATGTTATTTTCTATTTTGCAGTGTGTTGTGGTCTATTTGGCTCGTAAATAAATCGAGTAGGTTTGAAATATTTGATTCATATCGCGGAGGCTGTGATCGATGTTCCGGACATTATAGGTAGGGAAAAGGACCAATTGGGACTCTAGGCCGTTCGTTTAGGTGTATACACCAATTTTTGGTCGTATAAGGTCAAGTATCTAACTTTGGCGATCGTATTCACGGTAATCGTATAATCGAAGAACATAACAAATATTAGTTCAGTCAACCAACAACCACCGTCCCACTGTCATTCACTTTCATTTATACTAAACCTTATTCTCATTAAATCAGTAAATTTGAACGATTTTAACTGAAACAAGCAAAGAATTTTACATATTTTGTTAATATTATTATTATTATTATTATCTTATCGGCCGTGATCAAACTCTGTTTCATTTACAACGATCGACATTTATCAAGTTGTAAACTCCTAATTTAAGTTTACAGTAAATGACTAATTTCTTGACTTGAGTCGCCAGGTTTGCTGAATGGCTTAGTGATTTGTTGAATCCATTCAAACTAATTAAACTACAGTATTTCCACGAACTGATTTTCTCAAATAATAGAAAATACTTCAATTTATTTCACAACGACTGTCCCAAAATGCCCTGGTACGCCCAAGAGCGGGTAGAGTTAGCTCTCCCTCTCCAAATGATCTCACATGGCCACGTGCATATAACCACTACCACACAAGTCCTACTCACTGCCTTCTCGCGGCATAACTGTTGTTTTCGAAATTGAGAGCACGAAAAGCGAATGTCCGGCACTTTAACCGAGCCTGTGGACACGGTGAGTCCACCTAGGGGAGTCGGATAACTCTCACCCCAAACCAATAGTGTACATGAGCTCAAGGATCCCGAGGAAACGAACGACGTATTAACCAACTGTTGATCATCGACTTCCATGTGACTGCATCTCTCTACGTCGCTCCACTGCCTTGTGGATCAGGCCTTTAGGTCAAAGGTTCTGAGTATGGCCCCCTTAGAAAACCACTTGCTTCGGTTTGCACCTTCGGACAGTATCCCAGCCCTCACACGAATCGAATGATTTATGTGGCGTATATCTATTTGGTGCCTCCTTGTACAAATGTTCATGTGTTCAAATAAATAAATAAAATAAAACCATGTAACTCCCTGATAAGTAAACTATATTAAACTGACCATTGACTTTTAAAAATAAGTGAATTTGTTTGCTTGATAGACTCTGAGGAAGAAATGAACAATGAAACTTACTAAACTATGAGTTCCTGGTTGATTGTGACAGTTTTTACAGTCTGTTAAATCTGGTCGAAATTCTTGGCGCCATTGTACATCTTTACGCATCATTTTTTCTGCAGATTGTAAGTCCCAACTACGTGCTTTAAGGAATCTTATAATACTATAGAAATAGTCAAAACATACGAACAATACATGATCTATTCAATAATATGATTTAAACCATGAATATAATTGATGAAATTCATCAAAATTCAAATGAAAGTAGGTTTACATTTTTGATATTAATAAGAATGACATGATTGTACATTAAATTCATGAAAAGGTATAAGAGATAACTTTCAAATCTCATTCCATAGATTAAATGATATGATCATTTTAAATGATTATAACAAACTTGAATATATTCGATTTTAGCTTAAGTGTAATTAACTTTAGCCATCTATTATAGTTAATTGTCATAAAATTGCTCATTTAATATTATTTAGTAAAATAATAGTGTCATTTAAGTTTACATTTAGAGCTAATTCTATGTGTGTACACAATTATGTACTAACATACTCTGTTAGATGCTACTGAATCAAAGTACATAGATCACACTGTCATTATTATTCATATAGAGTTATTCATCTCAATGTTATATTATGGTTTTAACTTTGTGTTATGCTGATAAACATCTTAGATACAGTAAGGATTATATGAACTACATTCTGGACATTCTCGTTTTTAAATGTTTTCAATCAAGCTGTTTTATTTCAGCAAGTGTTTTAAACACAACTGTTAAAATGTGTTGCCTTCGTCACAAACCAAACAATAAGCTCGTACACATTTTCGTCTAAAGTATATCATAGAGATAAAATGATCTGAGTCGAGAAGACGAAAAGAAAGTATCTTTGGATGGTTCGAAGAATGTATCAAGTGAAAACGAAAAGTTACATTTAATCGTTATAGGGTAAAAAAAGATAGTGTTAAATGATTCGTTTTTTTAACGCGTAACAGGTAAATTAAATCTATGACTGAATTCTAATTCATAATCCTGAGACAAACATTATCCCGGTGGTACTATAATTTATGGACAAATAAGTGAAAATTAAAATAGCACCTTTTGAAGTTTGGTCCTATTTACATTCCAATATATGTCTACAAATCACTTTCGCACAACAGTTGGTGTCAGTTTGTAATGAAAACTCTTTGCTCTAACTCTAAACAAGAACAATTTAGTGACTTAAAAATCCATTTTGGCCCTTGCAAGGATTCATGTAAATGGACAATTAATATCAGTATGAGTTTGTAGAGATCGTTCAGTTTGTGAGTGAGATTATGAATCGATTGATGCTAGATCATCAATGAAAACCTACAATAACTGGACAGTCGTTTCGTCCTATTGTGTGACTTTTCAACAGTGCGCATCCACAAACCCATACTCAGGATTCAAACACAAGACCTTCGATTTCGTGCTCGAGTGCTTAACCTTCAGACCACTGAACTAGTATTCAATGGTGCTAATGTTTAACTTCAACCAATCCATGAAATTGCCCAACCATCTTTCATTGTCTGAGTTACATACCTGTCTCTATCTAGCACGGATTATTTCTACTGGTCACGACTTCGCACTAGAACTCGGAGAATTCCGTCACGAAGCTAGTCATTAGTAAGCACATTTTAATTATCAGTATGTTTATGGAGTAATCAATGTGTCGTAGTTTTTTTTCGATTCACGGACAGAATAGCATATAAAAGATTTTAATAGTTTTATCAAATTCATAAAATCTTTTTACATTTAGCAACATTATTGTTTTCTTTTCCATTTATAAAGACTATTTTCCAATGGGTTAAAAACGTGATGAAAATATGTTATCAGTGCTATCGATCTAATTATAGACAAGAAGGATATTTAAAATAGTGTTTTTTTTTCCTACATTATGAAACTGAACCAAACATTTTGATTTGATTTTCGAATTATTATGAGTTTCAAAACAATTTATATCATCATATGAATAATCATAGAGACAAAGAAATTGAGAAATTTTTTCACTTTGTAATTAGGATTTCTCCCCATTTCTTGATTCTCCTTCTTTCTTTCAACATTACTATCACTTAGTAAGGGTGCTAACTTTGAAATGAGTTGTAAATTTTTGACATTGAAATTTCTTTAAATCAGAGTTATGATGTTAACATCATTAATGACTACAAATGGCCGCTTCTAATTTGCTTCTAACAACTAAATTCTTTTCAATCACAAGAATGAGTGACAGGTTCAATTTTATTATCTCCTAACTCTATAATTGTAGGTTTACTTGATATGGAAATAAACACACTGTTTTTGATATACAAGTTTATTCTGCTTCACAATGTTGGATATTACAAAGGATTAAGACGAAGGTGCATTAAAATAGAAATTACAGGATGAAATTATAACATTTCACCACATAATTATTCAACAGAGAACTCCTGTAAGACCTACCTCGTAGAATAATCGGTGTTCCTGAACAGCAATCACCTTAAAATTCCTGAATGCCTAGAAACGACTGGCTTAAATTAAATTTCAAATCTTTTTCTGGCTCCATCACAAACTTATTAGCTCTTTGATGTTGATCAGACTGTTAACCTGTTAAATAAGTCAGCTAACCTCAGAATTCATCACCTCTCAACAAAGAGGTCTATGAACTAGGTTATTCTAGCCCGAAACTTAAAGCATTCTAGTATATTCATCAAGGATTTATGAATGAAAATAATCTTGATCGCTTAACATCTACTTAGTTTAAATTGATGACTAAAAATTATCCAAACACTGATTTGTCTTTGACAGAGTTCTTCGACAGAGCTCGATTTCAACCTTATATAATTCATAAACTTTCTTTAAAAAAATAAACAACTATTCGATTATTTATTTAAAATATAACATCCAGTATTTTCCAATTGTAATTAGTTCGTTACGATGGACAATAGTCATACATTATCTATTATTGCTATCTAACTAAACTAGCTACAGTGTTAGCCGTACAAGTCATATATCGGCATTAAAGTGATTGAAAACTGATCTTCATAAAAATTACTCCCTTGAAAAACCTCCTGAATAAAGAAGTTAGTGTGCGTATGAACTTTTTTATGTGATTGTACATAATATCGTTTACTTGACAGTAAAAGTCGACTCAGTAACTATCAGTTTTAAATTCAAATCTTGGTGAGTATACACATAGGCATTAAAATTATTTGTCTTTTACTCCGTAGTTTGATCGTTGATTGTAGAAAATGTTCCTTAAAATGAATAAATTTACACATACACCAATTTATCGAGTACAAGACGTACATACTCTTACAAATAAAGACAACTTTATTATATCTGCATTAAACTGCAAAATTGTGCATGGAGGATAGTTGACAAACTAGTTTGGAGTAAAAACCGGTGTCAGGTAAGGTTGCTTACTCTCACCCTCTCTCCTTCACCTAATGATCGACTGCATCATAAAGACGTCGACTTCTGGGGGAAGCATGAGGTACAGTGGATAGCTTGGATGCAGCTGGACGATCTAAACTTTGCAGATGATCTGGCTCTTCTATCACACACGCAACCAAAAATGCAGGAGAAGACGACCAGTGTAGCAAAAGCCTCATCAGCAGTAAGTCGCAATTTACACAAAGGGAAAAGCGAGATTCTCTAATACAACGCAGCATGCACCAATCCAATCACAATTGACGGAGAAGATTTGGAAAATGTAAAAATTAATACATATCTGGACAGCATCATTGATGAACACGGTGGATCTGATGCAGATATGATGGTGTGGATCGGCTAAGCAAGAGCAGCATATTTACAACTGAAGAAAATCTGGAACACAAAACAACTGTCTGTCAACCAACACCAAGGTCAGAATTTTCAATACAAATGTCAAGAGAGTTCTACTGTATGGAACGGAAACTTGGAAAAATACGAAAGCCATCATCCAGAAAATACAAATGTTTATTAACAGCTGTCTATGCAAAATATTTCGAATCTGTTGGTTAGAAACTATCAACAACAACAACCTACTGTAGGAGAGAACAAACGCGAATCCAGAGGAGGAAGAAATCAGGAAGAAGGGATGGGAGTGTATAGGTTACACATTGAGGAAAGCACCCCTCACTACATCAGGAGGCATGCCTTCAAGTGTAGCCGTCAAAGCAGAAAGAGAAGAGGGAAACCAAGGAAAACATTACACCGAGAAACGGAGACAGACATGAGAAGAATGAACAACAACTGGATAGAACAAGAAAGGGATGCCCAGAACAGAATGGGTTGGAGAACGCTGGCCGGTGGTCTATGCTCCATTGGGGGTCATAGGCGTAAGTAAGTATATAATAATTCTACTTGTAGACTTGGCTACTCTTGCTTACAAGAACGTTAATTACTATCATGTTTATAAATGGGATTAGATTAAAAATGAATTGCTTTAACCGTTATACACATAATGGGTGTGCCTAGTAATTCTATTCAAATATTTATAATTTGAAAATTATTGATAATTATGTCAATTAAACAATTTGTAAAATAATTTTATTTTAAATATCCCATTAGAGAATTGTTTTTTTAAAATATATTTTTCAATCTGAGTGCTTTGTTTTGTTCATAACTCTTCACTGTGATCAATGATACATCTATTGAAATAAACTCCGACTGTAGCTCTTTTAGAGTTACTGCCGGTCCCAAGCCCGGGTAAAGGGAGAGATTTGGGAATGAGGTCTGCAACTCCATCCCAAAAAACGACAACCAGATTATGCTAGTGGTCGGCCTATGCACTTCTACGAGGAGTAACAGGCGTAAATAAGTAAATTCTATTGAAATATAAAAACTATGTACTTAAAATGTTAGAGCTTTATTAACTAAGATTATAAATTAAAAGATCTAATTCGAGGTCATTAGGATAGTATTCGACAGTTTGTTCAAAACACTTCAACAGAATATGATTATTTTTCTCACCTTACAAGGAAAAATAGTATCTTGTTGGAGTTATGTTCTCTGAACTGTAAGAAAAATCGAACATCTAGAAAATAAATTATGCAAAAAATTATGCGAATAACATTACATCAGACAAAGCAGATGCCCTCTTTATCTTCGCCTGCATGAATATCTATTAGCAGTCAAACGACATGGCATGTCCTCACTTATATCAATGTACGTGATCAACTGCGGACACACATTCGACTGGAAAAATGTGGAGATTTTAGGTAGAGACAATTCCAAAATCACCAGAGAATTTTTTGAAGCTTAGCACTCAGTTCAATCAACAATAAACAAGTACATTGAAATCGATCCAATTTATCAACCAATCAGGAAAATTATAGACAAACATAGGAACAAAAATCAAACCAATCAGAGATACAACCAAAACAAAGAAGTAAACTATGATAAGTTTAAGGTCAACAAAAACTAATCAACATCGAAGTTTACAGAACAAACTGTGAACCATATATGGAGAAATTCGAACACTTCACTTCTACTTGAAGTTTGTGGTGATGATGTCGTTCAAAAGAACGATGAGAGCTCCACAACCAAGCCATCCAACTCACAGAACAAAACTAAAAAATATCATCCACCTATGCTATAAATTTTTTCCACCATATTAAAAATAATATTAAGTTTAGGATTTAGATAATAAAAAATGAAATTGTTTTTATCAATTACCAGCATTACTGAAAAAAAAAACTTTAGAAACCGAGGTAACATGAACACCTATTTTAATCTACTTTGATATATCATGACAACGTGAATAATCATCCCTAAAAAAAATTGAAGCCCTGAATCTGATAAGTTTTTAACTAATGAAATACAGCTCAACAATTCGATAACTACATTATAATTTGTGTTTATCTAAAAAAAAGTTACTTGCCAATAAATTCTTATCAATATATGTTAAATTACTCTTTGGAAAACAACAACTCAGGTCATTTATGAAATATGTATGTCATATAATTCTGAGTAATAATCGATTGAAAAAGTGTTAAAGTGATGATTCCGTTACTTATATTCCGTCAGTCAGTTACGGAGTCATAAATCTAATTCAAATTATACAAATCTTAAGAAACACTAGGAGCTTATCATCATAATTGACGTAGGTGATGAATAATTTCTTACACGAATTATATAGAATATCCAAATATCACTCTATCTACTTAGGTAAGCAAGCTTGTTAACAAAATGATATTTTAATAGTTACTTGAAGCTAGACCACTATGGTAAACCTCGAAGAACTGAACGAACGTTTCCTTTTACTGTGGAACTCCTCGGCAGCACACATCCACGATCCCGTCTTGGGATATTCGAAACCAGGACCTATCGGTCTCACGCGTGGACAATTATCCTCTAGAATCACAACAGGATGAAATGGCCGTCCAGCGCTTCCAGGTTTTTCATGGTGATATAGCTTCAATTGAATCATTATCTCAACTATTAAAATTACAATAATATCCACAAAAACTCCTTTTGATATTAAATTTAGAATAATTGAATCCATGATACCGTCAGCAAGATTCGAACTTATGGCCGCAACACTATACTAATAATTACCATGTGCTCACTAGTGACTAGCTTCGTGACGGAATTCTCCGAGTTCTAGTGCGAAGTCGTGACCAGTAGAAATAATCCGTGCTAGATAGAGACAGGTATGTAACTCAGACAATGAAAGATGGTTGGGCAATTTCATGGATTGGTTGAAGTTAAACATTAGCACCATTGAATACTGGTTCAGTGGTCTGAAGGTTAAGCACTCGAGCACGAAATCGAAGGTTTTGTGTTTGAATCCTGAGTATGGGGTTGTGGATGCGCACTGTTGAGAAGTCCCACAATAGGACGAAACGGCTGTCCAGTTATTGTAGGTTTTCATTGATGATCTAACATCAATCGATTCATGATCTCAACCAAAAACGATGTTTATTTATTGTTATTGTTAGAATTTTAAAACTATATAAATTGTAGACTATAATTTTCAACAAAAAATATTGTATCGCTTCTGTGAATTTCTCCTTAAATTCCCAAATTACTTAATAAATCACTTGAGAACTGATTATAAACATTTCATCAATGATGAAGATCTTTAATTGGACCAATCACAAATTAATCAATTTAATATTGGATCTCTCTGTAAGAGATCAATACATTCGTATAGATATATATTACAATGTTATTGATCCGATTCAATAACAACAACAACAACAATACCAATAATACCAATAATAAACTGTTCGATAATTGACAATTGAATTCTATTTGAACTATATTTTTAATTTACAATGACTTTTATTAGATTAAAATCTTATTATAATTGTTTGCAAATTTTAGTATTATTCATATAGATTCATTATAATTAAGATATAAATAGTTACTAGGTAATTAAATGACATTTTATATAAATCATGTTTAGCCGGTAACTTTTTTTTTCAAAGGTTAAAAGAAAGAAAAAAACATTATCATCCATTCATTAAATACTAAATCGATTTTTTTTCTAGTACGAAGTTTAACAAAAGTAATGAAAATCATAGAAGGTTTGAAGAAAACGTTCTTTTTAATTTAATTGAAACCTTTAGTTAGTGATCAATACATGGATCTATACAGAAATCAACTTTAAGATTTTAAACTTTCATGAAAATCAAAGATTTATGAAATGATCAGTTTAGGGGTTGGGGTGATTGTTAAGTTTTTGATTGAGATCATGAACCAATTCATGTTAGACCATCATTGAAAACTTGGAAGCATTGAACGGTCGTTTCGTCGTATTGTGGGACTTCTAAGCAGTGTGCATCCACGATCCCGCCTCGTGAGATTAGGAGGTAGTTCAATCAACACTCAGTGGTCTAGAGGTTAAGCGTTCGTGCACGTGACCGATAGCTGTTGGGTTTGAATCTAGCGAGCGGGATCGTGGATGCACACTGCTGAGGAGTCTCACAATAGAACGAAACAGCCATCCAATGCTAGCAGGTATTCCATGGTGGTCTAGCTGCAATTGACTCATGATCTAAATCAAAAAAAGTTATTAAATAGACAATCCGCAATCAGTTGGTTCATATTTATCAACTTCGATCAATATAAAATTATTATCATTTAATAGTAATGATAGGCGTTCCTTCAGAATTCACGAGGCTGATGCCCATTCTGACAACTAGAGCAACCATTAATTTAGGTACATGAAATGCTCATAAAATGTAGGAGACCGGGAGAGTCATCCAAATTGTTGCAGTTGAATGATAAGTTGAAACAAATTCAATATATTAAATCTTATTATATACTTGTAATCATCCAGTTCACTTCATATAATTTATTACCTATTGTTCGACAACAATATTCAATCGATAGCCAAATTTCGATTCTATCAGTCAGTTGAATGAAATTGTATTTTATTTACATTTTAATCTTATAATGCAACTAACAAACTGATTGACTGGGATCTAAACTTTATGACTATTCAAATGCAACTATCACTTTAAATATCCTTTGAATTCAGTCTAATTTATTATTCATTAAACGGCGAAATTATTTTTTCATGCATAAGATGATCTCAATAAATGATTTTCTTTGTTGTATACATTAGGTAAATGATAAAACAACATATACAATCAACTCACTTTTCTTCATTGGTAATCAATTTATCTGTTACCGGGCATGATTTTAAATCTTGAAGATGTTTCATTTGTTCAACAAGTTCTTTAACATTGATTGTAGATGCCATAGATGATAATGATTGTGTTTGTACTATGAATATAGAATAAATTGGTGAAAAGGATAAAGTCACAACATGATTCATACATCTTTTTATGTTAAATCATTTAAATAGGCTTAAGATACCATAAAATGAAATAAAATGACAATGGATTTATTGAAATAATCAGATGTTTTAATTCCATCTGTTGATTATTCGAAAGCACTTCATAGCTTCATTGGTTGTATTCACCTTACTGAATAAAAAGCGTCCATTATACTATTCCATCTTCAAGAATTAATCAAAATTTAATTGAAGAATTGACTAATTCTGGATTATATTCTGAACAAAAGACTAACATTTTAATTTTCATCATTTCAGGGAAATATGTTATATGGTGGTAATGCGTTTTCATTGTGAAACTATCAACAACACGTATATAATCGAAATGAATTTATGACTGCAACTGATTAGTCTCTTTTTGGCTTATATGCATCCTGTGCGGACTGCCTCGATATTGCCTGAAGTCACAAGCTTTACAAGCAAAGATGGATAGTAGCTAGCAGTGGAATTCAGGACGCACGTTTCGTCCTATTTTGAGGTGTGTCAGCTGAATGTCCTTGAATTCCAGAGTTGATGTTCACTCTAGGACTATAACCCAGCACCTTTCGCTTCAAACACCATCGCTTTATCCACTTAGCCACTGAGTCCTGATAGCCGCCTGCTTGTGCAATGGGAAGATACAAGTAAGAAACTCCAAGCGAATATAACTTCACCCCATTGCACAAGCAAATGGCTAGCAGAACTCAGTAGCTAAGTAAATAACGTGATGGAGTTTGGAGCGAATGGTATTGGGTTCCAATCCCAGAGTGAACATCAACTGTGAGATGTAGGTACATCCAGCTGACGAGTCCCAAATCGGACGAAACACTCGTCCTGGATTCCACTGCTAGCCACTATTCATTTTCGAAATCTTCTGTTTTGTCACACCTATAATAAAGCTCAATGGTTACTCAGGGAAAAGACCCATAATTTTAGTCAATATTGATCAGTAAAACATACTAACGTTTAATATTATTTGTTGTCAAATCATTTTTTGTAAAGAATTATCTACAACCAATTGTTCTAGTGTTTCGATCAAATAATATAAACAATGAGAGCTTCAAATGAATAGACCAACTGAAATTTATTTTATTAAGAATTTTAAATCCAACTTCAAACTGTTCGATCTTGATCATTGTAGAGTATCACTACTTTTAAAAGGAAAGTGTAGCCCAAAACTAAGTATAATTGTCTCTGCTTAATAACTTAGTTATTTGTCACTATTAATTCGAGGGACAATTTCGTAGATAACTAATAAAACATCATGGCTTATTGTGACAAATACGTGTGACTTATATAATATGGTTCGCTTTACTCAAAGAACAAGATCACATCGGGTAAAGGGTAACAAGGTAAAGTGAGGCACTACAATACATAGCCTTATACTGTTGACGGGATGCTTGTAACCAGTATTTAATACAAATTGACAGTTGGGTAATACAGGACTATACAAGCACATAAAATAAAGTAGTTTTTAAGGTTAACTAATCATCCACATATAAGATTAAAAACCACTTAAGTCAGTCAGCTACAACGTAGGACCAGGCACATATGTACGTCGGTCCAGGTTGCCATACTGCATCAGCACAACAAAATGAACACCGGATTCATAGCAGTGGTTATGTCAAAGGTGGTAATTTATAAGAGAAAGATTGCATATAGAGATATAGTACAAGAAGAAAAAATTGGTTCGTGGAAAGAAAGGTATGAAGTGATTTTAATCTCTTAGTCTAAGGGAAGATAGAGAGTGCATACACCGACGCCATTGTGATCGATTCTGAGCCATGTCACCAAGAGTCTCCAACCATTGGTTACGATTGTCACGCGGACCCCAGCCAAGTAGTCTGCATCTACCAACATGGCTCAGACTAGAAGTTAGTGACTTCAAGCACTGATGCCACGTTTTGGTTTGGCCACCCCTAACTTTCTTCCAACCATCTCCAATACCGGATAGCATTGCACGTCGTGGTAATCGGTGTTCAGGCATACGTAACACGTGGCCCAATCATCTCAGTCGATGAAGATTAACAACCACATCAAATGATTTACCACCATTCCCTAATACCCTGCGTCTAACCTCACTATTACTTATCCGGTGATCCCAGTAGACGCCAGCAATATTTCTAAGGCATCTGTGGTCAAATACTAGTAGCTTACGGGTGTCTTCTACTCTTAATGGCCATGTTTCGCTGGCGTAAAGTAAAACAGAACGGACTACCGCGCAGTATACTCGTCCTTTTATTGATAGACGGATATCTCGCCTTCGCCATAGGTGACGTAAGTTGGCAAAAGCCAAGCGAGCTTTTCGAATCCGTGCTGAGATTTCGTTAGACACTAACCGATTAGGGCTTATTAGACTTCCAAGATAAGTGAAGTTGTCAACGCGTTCGATTACTTCACTCTCTATCCTTAGTTCAGATGTTGACGCAGACCAGTCCTGAAGTAACAACTTGCATTTAGAGGGAGAGAAGCGCATTCCAAACATTCTGGCATTGTTGCTCGGTGCTACCAAAAGACTCTGCATTCTATCAGCGTCTTCACCAAACAGGACTATGTCATCCGCGTATTCTAAGTCGATAAGTGAACCTCCTAGTAGGAGATCAATACCCGAGAATTCAGTAGACGAGAATGTTATTTCCATCAGTAGGTCTATGATGAAGTTAAAAAAAATGGAGAAAGTGGACAGCCTTGACGGACACCACTTGAGGTTGCAAAAGTAGATGACCGTTCGCCATAAGCTCTGACTCGACTAGTAGTGTTCGAGTAAAGAGCCTTTACAAGGTTTATGTACTTCTGGGGTACGCCTTTCAATGACAGACACTGCCACAGAATCTCGCGGTCTACAGAGTCAAATGCTGCTTTTAAGTCAAGAAAGACCACCATTGTCGGCCGTCGATAAGTATGCCTGTGTTCTAGAACCTGACGAATGGTGAATATGTGGTCGATGCAGCCACGACCAGGTCTGAAGCCAGCTTGGTTCTCTCGTGTTTGCAGTTCACAAGTCTTAGTTAGGCGTCTGATAATTATCGAGGCTAGTATTTTAGATATTATATTAGTTAAACTAATCCCTCTGTGGTTGTCACAGGATGATTTTGACCCTTTCTTATATATTGGGACGATAAGTGATTGTGACCAGTCAGATGGGATAACGTCCAACTCCCAGATCTTAGCTAAAATATTAGTCAACCTAATCGCTAAAATTGGACCACCATCCTTAAAGACCTCTGGAGCCAGTCCATCTGGACCAACTGCCCTTCCTCGTTTCAGACTAACTATAGCCTTTTGAACTTATGCTAGAGTTGGGGGATCTACTTCAATGTTCCATTCACACTGTCTGGGAATGGTAGGTAGTTGCAGAGTATCTGAAGAACAGTTGAACTGTTCTCTGAAAGGTTCCGCCCATCTTTCTAAACGTCTGGACTGGGAGCAGATGAGAGTATCGTCTTTTTCCGATATAATCTCACTTACACTTGACTTAATTCCAGTTTCTTTTATTAGTCTGTAAAGCTGTTTTGTGTTCCCTATAGTCGCCGCCTTTTCCATCTCTTTTGCTTTCATTGCCCACCATTGCTCACGGTCGTTTCTCAGATTTTTTCTTAACCTAGATCTGATTTGTTGTCGCTCTTCATCATGTTCGGAACCTGATGGGACGAGTTTGCGAAAAAAACCCACTTAAACTGGATAACGAAGAACCAAGTGAATCCACTGAGTTCTATATTCCTGTTTATTACTCTAACGATAAAAGTCGTTCCTGGTTCGCTTGCTGCGTTAGTCTTTCTTGAGCTCTGATTCAAATAATGGGTATTCTTGTTTTCCTACATATATTTACATGCATGGAGACATGTATTTGGTTACTGAAGTCATTTTAATGCATATATATATATCGATTTGAGGGATACAACATTGATTATGATTTCTAAAAGTCTACTGCTTTCAATAGTACTAACCTAGATAGTCAGTTAGAGGTTTCGATATTTTGAAATTATTTTCTACGTCCAATTATCACCTCTGAGATTAGTTTTTCTTAAACTTAATGTGAATCATATTGACTTAAAACAAAATAATCTGAGACTAGCTAAAACAAAAACCAATTAACACAGATAAGTCACTGAGTAGTCACTAACTTGGTGTTTGTTTATTCCCTTGGTATTACTCAGATTCTACCGATCACAGTTAACTGTGACCAATAGTTTGAGTAACTCAGCGCAGATTGTTTTGTGTTTTCATGTTGAGTGGTTAGATTAAACAAATATGACAGTCGTTACAATACGGTTATAGTTCAGAGTAAATATCTTGCTTTGACAAGAGGTTACTATCAACCCATAGAGTAAATTCTGTACTTCTGAAACTGGATGTTACAGTTTCAAATACTTTAGAAATTATCAGCTACAGATGGTCCTTACTGACAAGTGACAATCAGTATGAAGTCTAATTTCAAGACGTCCCATCAACTTTCTTCAGTGAACTGACAGCTTACCATAATACATTCAATGTAGAGTCACTTTAAATAATACATACTCAGCAACTTAATCAGAAGGATCTGTTTAATACCAAAGACTAAATATACATGAAATTGATTACTATTTAGTGAATACTTATCTTAACAAGGACTAATTAGGAATTATCAGAGATAACCTGTGCTATATGGACAAAATGAACATGCTACATAGTGACTATGGCAAACGGTTTATGAAAAGACTCTAGATGTAATATAGGACACACATTATGGAAATCATTAAACAGCATCATAAAGCAAGCCCTAGCATAGAATCGTTAAGGCTAAAAGAAAAGGGGTAGACCAAAGAACACATTGCGTTCAGAATTGGAAGCAGGGACCAGAATGATAAATAGTATTTGGTAGCACTTGGAGGGGAGAACTGAAGACTGAGTTGGTTGGAGAATTTTTGTCGTTTCCCTATGTTTCACGA